CCCGGGGCCGAACGCCTCCTGGGAGGATGTGGATTTTGTTTCTCTTTCGCGGTATGCGAAACACAACGTTTGCAGCCCACTTTATTGCAGTGTACTGAGGGGGTGCAGTATCTGAGCCAACACATCAGCACTTGGAGCTCAGTATGAACGGATTCGTACAGCCAGGTGTCCAAGCAGAAAAATACATAGATAGTTAAAATTCACCCAGAATTTAAACAGGGACAGTGTGTTTCAGCTCATCCTGGCCTGCCATCTGTCTGCGTGGTTGCCCCTCTCCCATCTCGGTGAGGATTTGATCCTTGATTTATGCCTTGCAAACAGCAGCTGTTGGGCGAAGGGCTGCCTTCCTCATCCTCCCCAGGAGTAAATGCTGCTGGACGAGGAGGGCGGTAGGGCTTGATGCCTGGGTTATAGTTGGGGGGAAGCATTTCTGATTTAAGGGTTATTTCCTGGTGCCATTGACTTCAGCTTTGGGACAAGCCAGGGTGAGAATTACAGCTGCCGATGCCCAGGGCATCAGCCCCCGGGGGAAACAGCGTCTCGTGGCTGTTTCTGTGGCTATATTTCATTGCTGAGCCCCACGGGGGTTTGCAGCGCTGGAGATCTCCCGGGGGTCAACCCTGCTGAATTGGTCTGCAGGGCAGAAAACCTGTGCCTATCTCCTCAGCCTTCCAGTGGTGGTATTTTTTGGGGGGAGAGGTTGGTGGGGAAGGTATATTGGTGAAGTTTGGCTGGGGGGTGTGTGGGGGGGGGGGGGGGGGGGAGCAGCCACCGCCTGAACTGCCTTTTCCTAAGGGACGTGCTCAGGGTTGTTGCAGATTTTGGCCAAAACATTCTTTTCTGGTGAGAAATCTGTTTTGCTCTGCGCTGGATGTGAGGCAAGAGCAAGCTCCCGGCCACCCCGTCGCAGCGCCCGACCCTCCCACAGCATCGCGCCTGCCCGCAGCCCTTTGCACCAGCTTTGATTTCTCTATCTCGGAGCGATTGCAAATTTTCAGAGCCTAAAGGCTCGGGGCTAAGGCGGGGGGGGGCAGTTCAGGGGTGCAGCTGCATGTCGGCGGGAGATGCATCGCCTCTCAGGTGTCATTTTTTTCCTGGGGTATTTCAATGGGAAACCTAGCTAAGAGGTTAGCTTCTCCTCGCCAGGGGTGGTCGCTGGGCTCAGCTGAGTCATGTCACACCGAGGACCGATGTTTTGTGCTCTCTGGTTTTATTTTGAAGCAACAGAAGAGAATCTGCAGTGAAGCGAAAAGCAGAGGGAGCTGACAGGCTGCACGGGGAGCTCGAGCCAAGGGGAAATGAGTGTCAGCGGAGAGGCTCGCGCTGGTTTCCATCTTGCCCTTCGCAGGGACAAGGCGCAGGTGTTCACCCTTCCCTTGTTTTTCTGTGCTGAAACATTGCATCTGTGCTGCTCTCCCTCCTCAGATCCAGTGTATAATGACGCAACTTCACGAGAGGGTTGTTGTCTTCATGTCAAAGCCAAAAAGCCCCGAGGAGGAGACCCGCCAGGGTTGGGAAACGCTCCTACATCCCTTTTCTTACCAGCTTGGAGGTGGTTTTGCAAAAACCCTCTCCGGCCGCGACGCCGGGGCCGCCCCTGGCTGCGCATCCGGCAGAGCCAGGCTGCCCGCTCGCATCTGCAGGCACCTCTCTGGCACCGGGTCCCGGATCCTGCAGGGTCCGGAGGGAAAGCACATCTGAGACCTTCTTTTCGGGAAGATCCCCGGGGTGCAGCCCTGAAAAAGGGCACCGCAAAGGAGGGCGATGGTCTGGAAAGAGGTATCCCGAACCGCGACTGCGGGGACTCACTGCAGGTGGGGATTCCTGCCCGGGGCACCAAGAGGGGCTGGATCGGTCCCACGCGGCACCGCCGTGCAGCCAGCTTGGCGTAGCAGCAGGCACGGAGCAGGCAGCACCTGCAGTGAGAAGGAGAGCCGGGCCTCATCCGAAACGTGGCACCGGCTGCTTCTAACCTACCTGAAACAGGCTCTGCGAGCCAGGCGGGAAGAGCCACCAGCGTTTGCATCCTCATCCTGCTCTAAATCACCCAGAAGCTGCTCTTCCCAGCCCGTTCCCACGCCAAGCCTCTTCTCTGCTTCCCTGTGCAACCCCTGCCCAGCTCCGAGAGCCCTTGTGCATCCTGGCTTCGGGACTGTCCCCGTCCTGTGGTGCCACCCCGTTGACTTCAGCCGGTTGTCACTGGCATGACCCGACTGACTACAGGGCTGGAATTAGGGGTGAACGCCGCCGGGAGATGCATCGCCTCTCAGGTGTCATTTTTTTTCCTGGGTATTTCAATGGGAAACCTAGCTAAGAGGTTAGCTTCTCCTCGCCAGGGGTGGTCGCTGGGCTCAGCTGAGTCATGTCACACCGAGGACCGATGTTTTGTGCTCTCTGGTTTTATTTTGAAGCAACAGAAGAGAATCTGCAGTGAAGCGAAAAGCAGAGGGAGCTGACAGGCTGCACGGGGAGCTCGAGCCAAGGGGAAATGAGTGTCAGCGGAGAGGCTCGCGCTGGTTTCCATCTTGCCCTTCGCAGGGACAAGGCGCAGGTGTTCACCCTTCCCTTGTTTTTCTGTGCTGAAACATTGCATCTGTGCTGCTCTCCCTCCTCAGATCCAGTGTATAATGACGCAACTTCACGAGAGGGTTGTTGTCTTCATGTCAAAGCCAAAAAGCCCCGAGGAGGAGACCCGCCAGGGTTGGGAAACGCTCCTACATCCCTTTTCTTACCAGCTTGGAGGTGGTTTTGCAAAAAGCCCTTTTGCTTCAACACCGCCCGGCTCGTCCCCGGCACTTGCCGCGACGCCGGGGCAGCCCCTGGCTGCGCATCCGGCAGAGCCAGGCTGCCCGCTCGCATCTGCAGGCACCTCTCTGGCACCGGGTCCCCGATCCTGCAGAGTCCGGAGGGAAAGCACATCTGAGACCTTCTTTTCGGGAAGATCCCCGGGGTGCTGCCCTGAAAAAGGGCACCGCAAACGAGGGCGATGGTCTGGAAAAGAGGTATCCCGAACCGCGACTGCGGGGACTCACTGCAGGTGGGGATTCCTGCCCGGGGCACCAAGAGGGGCTGGATCGGTCCCACGCGGCACCGCCGTGCAGCCAGCTTGGCGTAGCAGCAGGCACGGAGCAGGCAGCACCTGCAGTGAGAAGGAGAGCCGGGCCTCATCCGAAACGTGGCACCGGCTGCTTCTAACCTACCTGAAACAGGCTCTGCGAGCCAGGCGGGAAGAGCCACCAGCATTTGCATCCTCATCCTGCTCTAAATCACCCAGAAGCTGCTCTTCCCAGCCCGTTCCCACGCCAAGCCTCTTCTCTGCTTCCCTGTGCAACCCCTCCCCAG